AGAGAGAGAGAGAGAGAGAGAGAGAGAGAGAGAGAGAGAGAGAGAGAGAGGCAGGCTGAATGGCAAAATTGAAATATGGGTCAAGTTGCGGCCGCACTCTATTTCGCAGTTGGAATGATTTTTTAAAATTTATTTAACGTTTTTCGTGGAAAGATCACAACACAATCTACGAGTACTCTAATTTTCAGGTTTTTTCACATATTCTTCTGAGCGTGAAAGCTCACTGAATTTGGAGTACCTTTTTAGTTGGCCCAGGCATCTATGGATTCTCAAAATTTCAGATTTTTGTGCATGTTCGTCTGAGCAGACCTCCCTGTTTTGAGAAGACGGGGCTCAACGCCTGGGCCTGAGGGCCTTTTTGCAATTCACATGCCCTCACTTCTTTTTGGGGTCCGCTTCTACCCAAGGACCGGTCCAATGCCCCCCACTTCTTTTTGGGGTCCACTTCCACCTGAGGACCGGTCCTTCATTTTTCCAAAAGTCCCGGTTCTACCAGAGCTAGCTGTAGGTAGTCCGCAATTTTGGCAAGGACCGGTCCCCCAATTTTTTTTGCCCCCTACGAACCCACTTTGCGTCCTGGTCGCCCGCCGCCAAAAATGCGACACCTTGACACAGACGCGAAAGCCCACTATAAAGATCACAACAAAATCTACGAGTACTTTAATTTTCAGGGTTTTTCACGCATTCTTCTGAGCGTGAAAGCTCACTGAATTTGGAGTACTTTTTAGTTGGCCCAGGCATGGCTAAGTGGCAAAAATGAAAAATGTGTCGAATCTGCGCGGCGATTATTTTGCAGTGTAAATGATTTTTTGTAAATGTTCTATTATTATTTCTGGAAAGAACATGACCTCATCTATGGATTCTCAAAATTTCAGATTTTTGTGCATGTTCGTCGGAGCACAGAAAATCGCCAAAGTTGCCTCTTGCAAAACGCCTATTTCGTTGTCTGACCTCCCTGTTTTGAGAAGACGGGGCTCAATGCCTGGCCTGAGGGCCCTTTTGCAGTTCACATGCCCGCACTTCTTTTTGGGGTCCGCTTCTACGTGGGGACCGGTCCAACGCCCCCCACTTCTTTTTGGGGTCCACTTCCACCCGAGGACCGGTCCTTCCTTTTTCCAAAAGTCCCGGTTCTAGAAGAGCTAGCTGTAGGTAGTCCGCAATTTTGGCAAGGACCGGTCCCCCAATTTTTTTTGCCCCCTAAGAACCCACTTTGCGTCCTGGTCACCCGCCGCCAAAAATGCGACACCTTGACACAGACGCGGAAGCACACTATACCGCAGCCTAAGGGCTGCGAATAATCCAGGGCAGTGGGATCTGACCCTAACTGGCGCGAAGGTCCTGGTAATGCTAGCCTCGGTGGCAAGCAGGCTATCTCTAGAAACGGTGAGGCACCGCAGTTGAACAGGGACTTGAAACCACGACCTTCTGACTACAAGTTGTGCGCCCTACGAACTGAGGACATACTTACTACTACCGGTAGTAGCACTTTTTAAAAGTTTTTTACTTATTTGTGGACGTAATTGCAGCCACATACATTCACATCTTGCGGTATATGCGGTCAGACACGTTTACGATGGTGCTACCTGTGAGGTGTCAGTACGGCCTGAGCCTGGACCCATGGGCTCATTGCCGACCGGGCCCCAAAGAAGCTCCACCGCAAAAGCAAGCACAACCATTACGGCTCCCAGACGGGGGCAAGGTCCCACTTGCACGGGTTTAGAGATTCGGGCCGTTGATCTTTGCTATCTACGATCAGTATCGCTTAATTCGTGTAAGTGGGACCTAACCCCGGGGCACGCAAGTGCTCCCAGAGAGGGTGTAGAGATATGCGAAGTACCGATGACATGTTACTGCTGGCAGCGCCACCAGGAACACGTGGAGCACGTTAACTCACGTAGGAGTGCGAAAGTGCTGTGTGCGGTGGAAGGCAGGGCGGTATACAGCGTTGCCCGGCAGGGCGGTTGTCCAACCAGGGCGCTTGTCCACGTGAATTTACTTCTCGCTAATTCGGGTACAAGCTTCCCGCCACTCTCGCCGATTCCGATACAACCTTCCCGCCGCTCTCGCCAATTCCGGTACAACCTTCCCGCCACTCTCACTATCACTAATTCCGGTACAACGTTCCCGCCACTCTCCGCAATTCCGGTACAATTTTTCGCCACTCTCGCCAATTCCGGTACACCCTTCCCGCCACTCCCGCTAATTCCGGTACAACTTTCCCGCCATTTTGCACAGCAGGCAACTTTTTTTGAACTGTCAGTGATCTTCTATGCATGGGCTGAAGTAGATTGGTTCGCGACTGGAGCTGCCTGTGACCTCGATGGCTATGGCGATCACGAGGCATGTGAAGAGGGCGGGACGTAGAGACTCTAGGTAATCCAGGTAAGGAAAATGTGAGGAGTCCAGGAATCATAATTCAGCCGCGTGGCGCTGAAGGCACCATCTAATCCTGCAGGGAATTTTCTGCCTACGTCAAATTTTGGGGCTCTCTCTACGCCGATCTCGACGGTTCACCGCCTCTCCGCGGATGGTGTTTGAGAGGCTGGCGAAAATCGCGGATATTGGCTTGCCTTGCCTCCTTTCGTCAATCCTACTGCTCTTCTTTTGTCCCCTACTCTATCCACGATCAGCCCATCCTTCGCGCAGCTTTCGAGGAACCTACGCACCGGATGGGGATGCCGTGGTGTCTCTGCACGCGGGCGGGTTTATCCGAGCCTGTGCATGCGTGTTTGCTTGCGCTTTTGTGTGTGTGAGAGAGAATGGGCCAAGGGGTGTGCGTGTGTGTGAAAGAAAGCAAAAGAGATTGAGGAGACACAAACACAGACACATAGACACACACACAGACGCACACACTGTGTGAGAGAGAGAGAGAGAGAGAGAGAGAGAGAGAGAGAGAGAGAGAGAGAGAGAGAGAGGTTCTCGTTTGTATTGATGAAAGTTAATGGGATATGACGTGGCGGGAATTCTGGAGATTATCAACATGCTATATATAGCAACTCGTGGCTGTGGATAGATGTCGAGCGTGATGGAGAATTGAGGCCCATAGCGATAAGTTTAGCTCAATGAGTTGAGAAGGCTGGAGCACATGCGGGTACGAGACTAGCTCCCTTACACACTTCGAAAGCGTGGGAAAGGAGAGAGAGAGAGAGAGAGAGAGAGAGAGAGAGAGAGAGAGAGAGAGAGAGAGAGAGAGAGAGAGAGAGAGAGGGGTAGATGCCGCGATGAATATCTCTTATTTGAAAAAGTTGGGGCCGCTGGGCAATCTGAAAGGCGTCGCACAGGGAGTGGGTGGGCTTGCACACGGAGTGGGTGGGCTAGCACAGGGCGTGGGCGGGCTTGTTTTTGGAGCGGCTTTAGGGGACAAGGGGTCAGGAGGAGTAGAGCAAGGGAATGATGGTGGAGTCGAGCGGTTATTGGATAGAATCCGAGATGGGGTGCTGGCGGACGACCGCCGGGCAGCCATCGCGGATCTCCGCGAGGCTGTGGCCGACAGCAATCGGGCGAAGCTTGCATTGGGAGCGATGGGGTTTCCGATTCTTCTGGCGGTCGTTCGAGACGAAAGGGAAGATTTGGAGATGATACGGGGTGCCCTAGAGACGATGAATAATGCCCTTGCAGTTCCAAGGAGGCTTGTGCCCCCCGGTGTAGGGGTGGATGCCAATGCGGATGGTCGATCTGGGGGAGGAAGTGGAAGTGCTGGATTGGTTCCTGGCCTGGTCAATTCCGATCTCTTCTTGCGCGAAGCCGGGGGCGTCCCTCTCCTCATTTCTCTCCTTGAAGACGACGATTTCTACGTCAAGTATCATACAGTTCAGCTTCTTACTAGTCTCCTGACCAACTGCTCAGACAAGCTTCAGGAGGCCGTGCTTGCCTGTCCGATGGGTATGGCGCGGCTGATGGATGCGATGCTGGAGAGCGAGGTGATCCGCAACGAGGTCCTCCTTCTCCTCATCTCTCTCACTCGATCGAACGACGAAATCCGGAAGATCGTAGTTTTTGAGGGCGCCTTCGAGAGGCTGTTCGGCATTGTGCAAGAAGAAGGATGCGCTGACGGCGGAATCATAGTCCAGGACTGCATTGAACTGCTGAACAACTTGCTTCGCGCCAATCCGTCTAATCAGACGTATCTGCGGGAGACGTTAGGGTTACAGAACGTTCCAGAATTGCTGAAGCTTCGGGCTATGGTGGGAGGAGGGCGGGGAGTGGGAGGAGAACAGCAGTTGAGTCGACAAAGAATAAATAATTTGCTGGCAGGATTGGAGACGGCATCTCTTTTGCTCGCCAGGCAGGAAGATGGTAGTAACGGCTCGGCTGCTGCCGCCGCCGCCGCCGACGCCGAGGAGACCTCTGTTTCGCTGGTTAATCGAACTGCCAATCAGAGCGCGCTGGCTCAGAGCGGTCTGCTGGATTCGCTGTTGGCTCTTTCCCTCGGGGAAGGCAGAGTATCCGCTGTGGCCGTTAGGACTCGGGCGTTGAGATGCGTTGGCGACCTGATTATTGGGCACGAAGGGAACCGCCGCCTCCTGGCATCGAAGTGCGTGGGTGGGGCGAAGAAGACGGCGCCTCCCGCCGCTTCGACGATGGCCATGGCAATCGGCTATGGCGGAAGGAGGGGTTCGCTACAGGAAGAGGAGACCGAGGCAGCAGGGAAATTGGCGGCCCCGCACGCGGTATTGCGCGTTGCATTGGGTTCTAGATGGTTGGAGGAGAGCTCAGCGGCGGAGTACCTGATCAAATGCTTCTGCGAGTCCAATCCCGCCGGTCAATTGATGCTAGCTTCCGCCATAACGGCTTCTCCTTCGCCGTCGCCGGCGATGGCGATGGAGGAAAGCGATCACAAGGGAGATGCAGGCGTCCTGTCGTCCTCATCATGTATTGCCAGCGTCATGCTTGGGGCCTTTGGCGCCCACCAAACCAATGGTGGCGTTTCCGGCGGGGCCGCTGGCGGCGGTGAAGTTGACACTCATCGCTTGGCGCGGAGCGTGCTTCGATTCGGCGGGTTGCAGGGGGGAGGAGGAGGAGAGAACGGCGGAGGTGGGGGAGGGGGGAATGGCAACGGTGGCGGCGGCTTTCTTTCTGGCATAATCGTCGACGGTGTCGTCGGGGAATGGGAAGTGCGACGTCGTGCGGCATGCGTGTTGTCGCACATTTTGCGCGACAACGGCGATTGCAAACTCATCCTTTCGCGGGCCATGGTGGATGATCGTCGCCCGGCGGCGGCCTTCGTTTCCGCTTCCTCGTCTTCCTCAGAATTTCTTCTTCCCCGTTGCACCTCATTGCTGGCCATGGCTGTCGCACAGCGTAATCCTTTCTTCCTGTCGCCTGTTTCTCCTTCGACCTCGTCTTCTTCGGGAAGACACAAGGGGCGAGGCAGGGGGGGCGAGGAGGAGGAGGAGGCGGAGGAAAATGCAGGGGGGCGCGCAAAGGACGATGACAAGGATGGCGTTCTCTGGTTTCAGCCGACGTTGCTCCGGCTCCTGGTCACGTGGCTCGTGGACTGCCCTGCCGCCGTCAATATGTTGTTGTCGTCATCCGGTAACGACGCGGGTTTCTTCGGCGAACTGGCCATGGGTGGCGGCGGCGGCGGCGGCGGCGGTGGCCACGTGGCCACCGCCGCGACAGGGAGCGGGGATGGTGGGGCCGGTGGTCCGACGAGTCCTGTGGCCGTCCACGTGGCCGGTCTGGCTGCCGTGTTGCTGGGAGTGTGCTTAGTGTGGAATGACGAGCAAGGAGCCGTGAGGTCTGCCAGCCTCGTTGACGTCATCGCGAAGAAGATCGGCGTCGAGAGTTTCTTCTCGAAATGGGAGGCGTTGAAGAACAGCCGGCGTTTCCGAATGGCGGCAGGTATGGGGGGCGGGGGGGGGACGAGTCGTCGCGGAGGGCGCGGGAGGCCTTCCGCGGGTGGAGGCGCGGAAGCTTCTCTTAGCGGCGGCGCCGGTGACGAGGGAAGTCTCGCTGATGATGATCGAGATGGTGGACGTGCCGACGATTTTGACGAGGAGGAGGACGATGATGAGGGTGCGGAGGATGATGGGGAGACGGCGATGGGAAGGGGAAGGGAGAAGACGGAGGGAGGAGAGAGGCCGCGTGGCGACGAGGAAGAAGGTGGCAGAGGTATGGAGGATGCCGCCTCTGTTATGGCCGTGGAGAGGACACGGTCGATCGTGTTCAAGTCTCTGTATGACCGGGCTTTTGCGCGCTTCTTAGCCGATCTAGAGGTACGAGTGCGCAGTCGCATTGATGAGGTGTATGGCAACCCTAGGATGAAATTGAACCTGGACATGGCAAAGAAATTGGAGAGGAGAGAGGGAGAGAGTGAGAGAGAGCACACCGCGCGGCTGAAGTCCATGCTATTGGATCAGAGTTTGCTTCTGGAGGAGATGCGAGAGAGTGGGACCGCGTCGCCAACGGAGGATGGCATGATGAGCGGAGGAAGGAGGGGGATGCAAAGCGCACTGACGCAGAGCGGCGTGGGGGATACTGGACTTGGCTCGGTGGTGAGGAGAGACGATGACAAGGTGGCGGAGGCGGCCGCCGCCGCCGCCGCCGTCGCCGCCGCCGCTTCCATTGCTGCTTTGGAGACCAGACTTGTTGAGATGGAGGGTGCTCTTGGGGTTACGATCGCGGAGAGGGATGCCTTACAGAGTGAGCTGGAGCAATGCCAGGTGGTAGCTAGCAAGCATGAGGCGGATCTCCGGTCACTGTCGGACGCGTACAACGCGTTGGAGCAGATGAATGATAGACTGGAAGGGGAAGTGAAGGCGTTGAGGAGGAGTTTGGCAGAGGGAGGGGTGTCGCTGAAACACCTAGATGAACAAGTGGCGGCGGCACGCGAACAGGGCCGGCAAGAGGCGTTAGCAGAGGCTCGGCAGTCCGAGGCTACGGCAGGTGGGGGGTCCTCGTTCCAGGAGCAGCTTGAGCTAGCACGTGAGGAAGGTCGACGGGAGGCGAGGAAGGAGGGGGAGTCTGATATGATTGACATGCTGACGTGCCTCGGACAGGAAGAGAGTAAGGTTAAGAAGTTGAGGGAGGTGCTGGAGCCTTTGGGCTACGATGTGGATGGATTGTTAAATGAAATCGCGAATGAGGAGGAGGAGGAGGAGGAGGAGGAGGAGGAAGAGGAAGAGGAGGAATACGAGGAGGAGGATTGATTTGCACTCTTTCTGTTAACTGCCGTCACGACGGTGGCCTGTTGATTGTTGTTATCATTTGTTGTTGATGATGACATGTGCCTCCGCCTCGACCGCGACGAAGACGAGTGCTGTTGACGATTATGTTTATCGCGAAACGCATCGCCTTCAGGACGATCGTCAACGGCGAGGAAGGGGAATGGGATATAGTCTGAAAGAGGAGGAGATAATTTAGGTAGAACGTCGATGCGGTGTTGTTGCAGAGTCGATGACATTAGGGGAGGAGGAGGAATAAGGGAGAGATTGATTTCACGGTGACGTTGAGGAGGTGATGTCCGGGGAGTTTCTGGGGTTCTTTTGTGGTTGTTGCCTTTTTTAAGTTTTCTTTTCTGTAGATGTTTGGTCTGCTGGAAGGTCGGATTTGCTTATGATGGAGCCGGCCACTTATTGCATAGTTCGATGCGTGGACAAGATTGAGACACGACACGTCGACAAGATTAAGAAACCACACGTGGACAAGATTGAGACACGACACGTCGACAAGATTAAGAAACCAC